GCCGCCATGCTGAAGGTGGCCCGGCTCTCAGCTCCACGCTGCCCCTGGGTTTTATTAGCTTCAGTCAGTAAAATAAACTCATTGGTATCCTGCACAAGATACCACGGATCTACATTTAAATAAGGAGACAAAGGGTTCAACCAGCTCCACCAGCTCCAACAGAGTCAGCCACACTCCCCATAGTTTTGTTGCTACTGCCCCCACCACCCTCCATGGTGTCACAGCAAACTTCTGTCCGTCCCCTACCTCCACCTCAGCCGAGGTGCAGAGCTCAGCCATTGCTCCTAGGCAGCAGCGGGAAACCCACATTACTTCTCTCCAATACACTATCTTTCAGTGAATAAAATATAAGCAGTTGAGTTCAGTGACTTCTTACCTGAAGCACAGCCTTGATGACAAAAGGAGTTGAGGGCAGGTGGGCACAAAACTGGCAGCCTTGACACAGACTTCAAGCTTCAGTGGCCCATGGATAAAAGGCCAGAATGCAAATAGGCCAGAAACATTTGAGTCAGGATCCAGGAGTCTTCATTAAAGCACCCAATCAGGCCCAGGATGAAGAGAAGATTAAAATATCTTTTCTCTTTTAAACCCCCTTTGAAAATACAAGCATAGTTTTAATTCCTTTGGGAGGGGGGCGTTACTATAATATTTTCAGCCATTACTTATTCCTTTATTTGCTTGATTCCAAAATTGGGCCTTTCACAAAACTGCCTGGGGAAGCAAGTATACAGAATTAAAACATTAATTATATTATATAAAACATATCATAGCAGCAATTAAAGCCGCTTAAATTAATGTGTGAAAGAACAAATAGTAGCCTTTGGGTTGCCCCATGGGGCGCAGACCAGACAAGATAAAGGGAAGATATTTCAGTACATGCACACCCCAAAGAGGCATGCGCTGGTGGCGAGCCCCAGAGCCAGCACGGAACCTCAGTGGGCTGAGAGGAGGGTGCGAGAAAGAGAGAGCAAGGAGATGATGCAAGGAGAGGCAGCAGTAGTCAGAGTCCAGCAACAGAAGTAGGGCAAAGGTCAT